CTTAGCTGCTTCATATCGAGATTTACCATTATTGATGTACAGCTTCGCGTGTGTTTATGTGTGTATTTATCCATGTGTTGAAATATGAAACCATAATGACCGTCTCGAATAATCCGAACATAGCAGAAGCATCCGTTATATATTCGTCAAGGCTTGATCATATTTTTAGTATTGGTTGACCTTGTTTACGCAACTTGGTCGAACCAACACGGTAAAGTGAGAGGAGAACTTGATTAAACAAAAGACAACATCATCTTGGTCTTCATATCTACGATGTTATCACCTTTTATTTTTAATCCAAGGAGACGCACAGCTGAATTGAGTAGCCTTCTACGTTTAGGTGAAGAAATTTTGACGGTAATTAGTGCAAATTTCCTCGAAGACTTGTTCCGCCCTATATATATATATATTTTTATTTAATCTTTTAATCTGTTTAAGGGCAACCACTCTGGGATGTCAACGTAACGGTACCCATGCGGTTGGGCGAGGACGAGTTTGCATTGTACGGCTTGATAGCCGCCAACTACACCAGTGGGAAGGCGGTCCGAGGAAACGCAACCGTTCAAATCACCTTGCGCGAATCCACGGCTGACAAGTGGTCAAGGCCCCCTCGGGTGGCGATCCAAAAAAGTATACTTGAAGTGAGTTTGTCCGAATGAAATGTTTTCAATTAAAGGGTGTGTATCTAAAATAAGGCAATTTTGTATGGTCGAGTTGTAAGCTCCGGAGACTTGGGCAGAGTTAGAAACTCCCAGTACACACAAAGGCCCATTTTCGGGCTACTTCTTACACAGTGTATTAGTTGAGTTGTCCAGGGCTACTTAAAGTAATTTTAAGACGTTAGAACTGAATTTACCCCTAATTAACTGAGTATATCTTACAATACCATTTTACTTCCTCTAGCCTAGCCTCCAGCTCGAATAGACTAGACTGCAGTTTTGACCTTTCTCCAGTCTCATCTGCACCCCTAAAGGTAGTAAAAACCGTTTGGTATACGTCAAGTGAATGCATTCTAACTTTCCCTCACAGCCACGGCAACCAGTAGGTGATAGGGCCGAGGTGACTTTTAAGGTACATCAGGCCTCTCTTAAATCACATTTATTGTGGACCTATGGTAGCTAAGTAAAACATGTATTTGCCATTAAATTCCGCTTCACTACAATTTAATGAGTGAGTCGGTCTCGAAGATATCAGTAAGGCTTAGGTGGAAATGTGGATTACCCCAGGTTGGCGAAAGTTTTGAATTGTCGTGGATGCTGATAAGATGGAGTAGAACATGGAGTCCAGTCTGGATGGCAGGGCTAAGCTGACGTAATTGGCATCGAGAAACCTACCTATTTTAATATACAAGAGTTTGGTTATTACATCACTCTAAGCAACCAGGGATGGAGAAAGATCTTACTCAAGATGTATCACTAGTCGCAAAAAATACTCAGTTACAAGATTGGTATTTTGCTGACTTTGATCATAAGCATGACCCAGACTAAAAGCATTTATGTACAAGAGAAGCTATCAAAAGACGAAGGGGTGATAGTTGAATTTTCTTCTGATTAGATGAGTAGGCCTCACGATGCCATCAATCTTTGCTTAACTTTGCTTCCCACAAGGTATTCTCATCTGGAATGAACCGCAATTTCTACCTCAGATAGGTCTCATAAACTTCCCGGGTATTCCCGGGTGCATAATTTCGACATGCTACTACCGGATCACATGGCAGTGCGGTGCCCTGGCAGCATGTTGACCATAAGCGTCGCACTAACCAAGCTTGAGCTCCAGCGAGGGTTATGAGGTTACTTTTTGGAGAACATTGATAAAGTGAAATACAATGACATCTCAAGGCCCACACGGCTAAATGAAAGGCATTCCAACATCAATGCGTTAAAGGATTCTTTGAATCCCAGATTTTTTTACATACTCACATATATTGTTGTGGAAAAATAGAAAAATATCAGTCCTTAATTATTTTATGCTACCCAAGAGAAGTTACTGCCTTTCCGGACCTTCGAGACAAGAGCCTGTTTCAGAAAGTTTCTTTTGTGAAAAGTTCACGGGATAAATTACATTCAGCATCGCATTATAGAAATTAAGTATCAGGGCAGCATCAGATCTTGAATTAGCTTTCTAGTTGCATGCATAAGAAAGTAGGGTTACGAATATAAGTAACGTTGTCGATTTCTATAGCAGACATACGTTTGCTTCATCGACACTCCCACCGAA